GATGTACAAATGCGCTTTACACAATTGATGTGTGTATGGATTGGGATAACAGTTGTATGAGCCCCTAATAAAATGTTAAAAAAATAAAACATCATTTTAAAAAAAAAGTCCTCGGAGTGAGTCATCCCCACAGGACGGGAGGTGGCCCATGGGACTCGGGGACGAGGAACTTTCCTGAGAGAATCGTGTTCAGCAACCAGGGTTCCTTCTCCATTTAGAGAGTGAAGCGCTCAGATGGAAACCAAAGCCATGGTCTTTTTTGCAGCTTTTGACCAAACATGGAGTGTTTCTCCAGGGACCGGACTTTCAGAACCCCTCCCACGTGCCAGAGGCCCCCAAGGCTTCCCATCCTTGCCTCTAAGGAGCACTCTGGTCAGGCTCCTTCCCGGATGTCCTCTGTGGTTCTTTGGTCAGTCTGTGATACTTCCAACCTTCTTGGCCAACATCACAATCCACGTGCAGAGATTCTCCTTCAGCCTTCTGTCTTCAACGTCCCACATTCACATGCAGACGGAAACACGTAGGTCAGGTGTACCATCATCCTCAAAGGAGCATCCTTGCCTTTCAGCACTTTGAAAGAGATCGTGCGCACCACATATAGCCAATGCGATCTGCGGTTGACTGGCTTGATGGCTGCTTCCATGAGCATTGACTGTGGATCCAAGCAAGCCATCATTTGACCATGGTATTACTTATCACTCAAGTTGCAAGGATTGGGGTCCTCTTCACATTGAGCTGCAACCCGTAATGAAGGTTGAAATCCCTGACTTTCATCAGCAAGGGCTTCAAGTCCTCTTCAGTTTCAGCAAGCAGGGTTGTGTCATCTGCACACTGTGGGTTGTTAGTAAGCCTTCCTCCCAAGCTCTTCTTCATATAATCCACCTTCTCCAATTACTTGCTCATCCCCCAGATTGAATAAGTACCCAAACCGCGATATTTCCAATCACCTCATATGCATGTGAAAGTTTAGACCGTGAATAAGCGTGGTGAGAGGACGCAATCCTGATGTACATCTTTCCTGATTTTAAACCAGTCAGTATTCCCTTGTGCGGCTCACACAACTGCCTCTTGATCCCACTCACGTTCTTCATGGGCACAATGAAGTGCTCTGGAATTTCCTTCTTCTCCAGGTGATCCACGGTGGGTTAGGGTCCACATCGTCAAGTACCTTCATATAGTCAATAAACACAAGTAACCACCTTTCTGGCATTCTCTGCTTTCAGCAAAGGTCCACCTGACATCAGCAATGATACTCTTGTTTCACATCCTCTAATGAGTCCAGGTGACCCTCTGGCAGCTCCCTGTCCATGTGCTGCTGCAGTTGTTGTTGGGCGATCTTCAGCACAAGTGTCTGACGGGGTGAATAGCAACAGACCACGGACAGCATCACAAAGCATGGGGATTCCAGAACACGGCATCGTGCTCGTGGGGAACTGGTCCCCGGAGCAAGTGGCAGTCAGCTGAACAGACCTCGAGGACACGGCATGGGGTAAAATCAGGGAGCTGTGTGTCAGGGCGCATCTTTTCACGCACTCACGCAATCTATGTATGGAGAAGAACGCAGCATCAGGAGTGGAGGGAGGCCTGCTAGCAGTCTGTGATATGCAGATGACACGACCCTGCTGCTGAAAGTGGGGAGGAATTCACGCGCTTGCTGATGCATGATCAAGGGCTGCAGCCTTCAGTGTGGCTTGTAGCTCGACCCAATGACCGCCCAAATCCTCACAACTAGACCAGCAGAAACATCACAATAAACAGAAGACTGAAGTTGTCCAGAATTTTATTTGACTTGGATCTCCCAAGGAAGGCAGCAGGCGAGAATCAGCGAGGGAGTGGATTGGGTACATCTGCTGCCCAAGACCTCTCCAAAGTGTTAGAGAGCAAAGACGGCACTTTGAAGACCCAGGTGTCCAAGACCGGAACCGTGATATGTCTAATCACCTCATATGCATATGAAGGTTTAGACCAGCGGTTCTCAACCTGTGCGTTGTGACCTCTTTGGGGGTCGAACGACCCTTTCAAAGGGGTCGCCTGATTCATAACAGTAGCAAAATTACAGCTATGAAGTAGTAACGAAAATTATTTAGTTGTTGTGGGGGTGGGGGTCACCACAACATGAGGAACTGTATTCAAGGGTTGCAGCATCCTGATGGTTGAGGACCACTGTTTGGGCACTGAATAAAGAACACGGAATAACTGATCTATCTGATGCAGAGTGTGGGCAAACATGGCGTAAACCACAGACTGCCACCTTGTCATGCCCACAACGCTCTGAGAAGTGAGGATGGCAAGACTTCATCTCCCTCCTCCCAGCATGTTGTCCAGAGAGACAGGTCCCTAGAGAAGGCGGTGCCTAGTGAGATGGCGGTGCCGTGAGCAAGAGGAAGGGCTAAGCACACTCAGACATCACAGCTCAGAGGAAGGCACGGGTCTGCTTGCGTTTTCTGTGGGCGGTTCTGAGTCAGACTGCCTGGAAGACACCGAGTCACCCAGCCGGTACCTTTCTGGTCGTCTCCGCTTTGTTGTCTTCCAAAGTTCCTGGTGTTGATGTGGGTGTTTCCGGCACTGCAGCAGTTTGGAAACCATTTCCATGGGGATCCAGCCAATCCCTGGAGCCTTTTGGCCAATGTCCTCAGTGCCGCTCAGACTTCTTCCTTCCATGCCGGGGGTTCTTGGTCTGAAGGGACTGGACATTGATCCATTGGGGGAAAGGTTAGAGAGCTGGAAGTACCACTCCCAGGAGGGGATAGCCCTAGATCAGTGGTTCTCAACCTTCCTGATGCCGTGACCCTTTCACCCAGGTCCTCATGTTGTGGTGACCCCCCCAAACATAACATTATTTTTGTTGCTACTTCATCACTGTCATTTTGCTACTGCTATGAATCGTCATGTAACTATATCTGATATGCAGGATGTATTCTCATTGTTACATATTGAACATAATTAAAGCATAGTGATTAATCACAAAACAATGTGTAATTATATATTGTGAAATATTTATTTCTAATTCCAAATAAATGAAGTTTTGTCTCGAAGCATGGTGTAGCATGGTGAGACAGTTAAGGTTTATTGTGCCAACCTGGCTGATAAACACATGCTGGGTTAATTGAAGGGCGGAGAGATAAATGGTTCGGTGAGCCTCACCTTTCTAGTCCTCAGGTCTCTTGCTCTCTGATGGTCGGACCAGGGTGCAGCTGCTTAGCCAGGTCCCTGATTCAGCTGACATGTCTCCTGCAAGACATCCCTGAGGAGAAGCCGCATGGACCTACCCTGATGCAGCCCTGGGTGCTGGAGCAGCCATGTGGAGACCCCTGCCAGCGCTGAGATGTTTTCACGTTCACTGACTCAGCTTTCCTTCTGCAATTGGCATCATTGTGTATTTTTTGTGAGATTGAGGAGGACTTTGTAGATTGGTGTCGGACATATGGACTAATGTTGGACTTAGGGGCTTGGACAGCACTGGGTTGGGATGCTTTCTTAATGTACACTTACCCTGTATATAAAACTCTGTCTTATACATATATGAATTTCTGTGGATTTGTTTCCCTGGTTTACCCAGATTAACACACATGAGTAACAGTCTTCATGCCAGGTACTTATATGTGTGTGTATCTGCATGTGGGCAGACCTGCCTGGAGGTGGATAGAGGAGCGGTGTTTTCTGATGGTCTTAGGCAACCCCTGTGAAAGGGTCATTCGACCCCCAAAGGGGGCGTGACCCACAGGTTGAGAACTCACGCCCTAGATAAAGGATCTTTTGAGAAACAATAGCTTCACGTTTTGATATTTGGGTTTTATAGAGTCTTAAATGATTTTATAGCAGTATTTTAAAATAACCCTCAAAGAAATGCTTTAGATTTAATAATAACAGTTGTTCTTCATAAACATCTGTGTGTTAGGCTGGGTTGACTATTGAACCAAATCTAGAAAGTGGATCCCAGTGCAATGAGATTAAAATGTAACACATCATCGTTTGCTCTTCCCTTTGACCTATTTTAAATTTGCTCTCATATTTATTAATCTGACTAAGGTTTTCCTCAGTTTTATTTTGGCATTGATGTGGTTTGTTGCTGTAGTTTTTTGATATATTTTTTATACAGGTAGATTTCTAGAGACAGCACTGGATTAATAGTTTCTTAGAATTCTGGCAGGGGAGCTTGGGGCCTGGGACAGGGGGAGCTGGTAATAATAATACAGAAGAAAGAAAATGCTTTAAAACTGGTTGTGGTGACAATTGCTCAACTCTTTTTTATTTGTTCAAATCATTGAATTGCCCGACATGTGAATTATGTCAGTAAAGTTGTTAAAATTTAACAAGCAAACAAAAACACGAATGACCCTTGGAAGCCCACAGGGGCAGTTCCACCCGACCCAGTAAGCTGCCGTGACTTGGAAATGGACCAAGAGCAGCACGTTGAGTGACGGGGGCGCGTTCGACTGCGCTGTCTGGAGAAATGAATCCAATAACACTCTCCGAAGCACAAGAAAGAACTTTACCCTAAGAATCAACTGCGCCCCAAGTCCAGCTCAACAAGCCCCTGGTCTGACGCTGGTCCGCAAGTCCCCCTTCCGACCTGTGTCGCTGAAGCAGGGGGCTCACGGGCCAGTGGGTGCAGAATCACGTGGCTCCACGGTCAGTGGGAATACAGCAGCTCTCGGGGTCGGTGGCCCATGTGGAGCCCCTTGAAGGCACGCAGAGTCCCCCTGAACAGGAGGGCAGAGGGAAGAGGTAAAGTGGCGGTTCCCAGAGTGCCCCAGGCTCATACAAAAGGCCATGCCCCAGACAGGTTGGACCTCCCTCCAGTCCCGTCCCCACCCGGCTCGGAGGGTCTGGTTGAGCTAGCATCATCCAACCACCCCAAAGGGGCACAATCCGCAATTCCACTGGGAGCAGCCCCCTGAAATCAGAAGGGGAGCCCTGACCCAGGGACCAAGCACAGGTGGAGGAACAGCATGGGAAGCTCAGGGAGGTGACTCACCCCTTGGGTAAGTGACCTCACCCCTTGCAGATCCACATGGATTCTGTGAACCAAAACGTGGGCGGACTGTGGGCTGGGAAACCAACCTGCTCTCTCCCTCCTCTCATTCATGTCATACCCCATGGAATGACCTTTCCCATCAACACAGGCTCTCAAGCCAGCCCCCCGTGACTTGCGGGTTCAGGAGCCCTTGGCTGCTCCCTGACCTGGCAGCCATGGTGGCACCCCCACCCCCAGACCCCAGAGGTTCTGGTCTGCTCAGACTCAGACTCACCCCCTGTGGAGCTGGCTCCAGCCCACAGCGATCCTACCTCATGGGGTAGAGCTGCCTCTGTGTGCTTCTGAGACTCCAAATCTTTACAGAAGTAGAAAGCTTCCTCTTGGTTTCAAACTGCTGACCTTGCAGTTAGCAGCCTGACACGTAGCCACTCCACCACCAAGCTCCCACAGAGCGGAGAGCTGAACAAGTCATCTGGCATTTGTTTTTTTCCTTTTGTATAGATCATTTTATTGGGGGCTCTTACAGCTCTTATAACAACCCATACATCAATGGTGTCAAGCACATTTGTACGTAGGTTGCCATCATTATTTTCTAGACATTTACTTTCTATTGAGCCCTTGGTATCAGCTCCTCCTTTTTCCCCTCCCTTCCCCCGCTCCCACTCTCGTGATCCCTTGATAAATGATAAATTATTTTTATTTTCGTATCTTACACCGACCACTGTCTCCCTTCCCCCACCGTTTCTGTTGTCCGTCCCCCTGGAGGTGTGGGGCTTGGGGTTGTGTGTCAATCATTGTGGTCGGTTCCCCCTTCTTCCTCTCCTCTCCCCACCTGCTCCCTGCCCTCCTGGTTCATCTGGCATGTTTATGACGGGTGTTTCAATAATTCAATTTGTTCTCAATGACTGACTGACCGTGGACCTGACAAAGATAACTTTGAAAAACAGCACAACATAGCTAACTTAAAAAAAAGTTCACTCTCGGCCTGCCTGCTGCTGTTGTATTGCTTGCGCTCAGGACCTACTCAGTGGTGCTCACAGCCATCACGGCTCCACGGTTCAGTAAAGAATGGGGCTCGGCGACTTTCAGCACTCACAAGAACCGCCTCAGTGACTCTCGGTGACCCAGTGCTGCCGGGGCAGAGCCGGGCTCTGGAGGGTGTGATACAGACCGCCCGAGGTTTCTACCTCCACCCTGCTCCCAGACTCAGTGCCCCCAGGTCTCTGAGAAAATAAGGAAGTTCTGGGGATTAACCAGGAGCCCTTGGGGCGTAGTGGTTCGACATTGTGCTGCCAACCACAAGGTTGGTGGTTTGATATACCACCAGGTCCTCTGCAGAAGAGAGATAAGGCTTTCTATTCCCGTGTAAAGTTACTGCCTCTGAAACCTGCAGGGGCAGTTCTGCCCTGTCCTAGAGGGTCTCTATGAGTTGGACAGAACTCGATGGGTTTGGGTTGGGGTTTTGGAGGGAGCGAATCACCGCTTGAACCCAAGACCCTTTGTCGGAATTATTGTATTTGTATAAAACTGCACACACGATCTCCCGACGAGGCCGTTGAGGTGGGTCTCTGGCTCTCCCTGGCCCCTCCAGGACCGTGTCACCTTGTGTCCATCCCACTCTCAGCCACCAGGCATTCCTGCTTGCTCATGAACTTCTGGAGTTCGTGCATGATGCCCTTGACATTGAGTCTTTTCCTGGAAGCTTGGAAGGTAGCCTTGTTGAAGGGGAAGATGAGGATGAAATTGCCCACTTGGGGCTTGGGGCACTCGCTGCTGTTGCTGGGCGGGGGCCCTGGGCTGCTGGCCGGCCGGCAGGAGTGTGACTGCAGGGCAGAGGACTTGCGCTGGGTGAGCCTGCTGCGGACCCTGGCCTTGGCCCTGGGCAGCTCTGTCCAGGTGGAGAGCCGGTCCTGCTCAGGCATGCTTTCCCGTGGCATGCAGGCCTGTGTGGCTTGGGGACCCGTGCCCCTGGCTCTGCCCCTGATGGCAAAGGGCTCCCCCTGGGACAAAGCTCTGCCCACAACCTGGAGGTGTGGCCAGCAGGGCAGGGGACCCCTCCCCTTGCTGGGTCTGTCCCTGTGGCCCTGGTCCTCCGCGCTGGAGGTGCGGTTGCCGGCCCAGCCCCAGACGTGGGCTCCGGCTCCGTGGACCAGCTCGATGACGTCGTGGATGAGTTCTCTTTTCAGGGAGACGTCGGTGGTGCAGTGCTGGGTCAGGGCCGGGCTGTAGTTCACCTCCAGGAGCCACGGCTTGAAGCTGTCGTCCACCAGCACGTCGAAGCCCAGGAGCTCGAAGCAGTTGGCAGCAGTGGGGATGCCCGGGGCGGCGGCCAGCAGGGTGAGGATGGCCAGGCGGCAGATCTGCCGCCACAGCAGCCCGTCGTCGACGCCGCGGAGGCGCAGGTAGGAGAAGAGCCTGCTCAGCAGCCACTTGCACCCGCGGCCGATGACCTCTTTGCAGGCCCCGTAGGAGGGCCCCGACCTGTTGATGCTGCTGTTGGTCAGGTGCGCATAGTCGCTCCGCAGGTTACGCAGGTCGAACTTCTCCGTGGCGAAGCGCACCAGGCCCTCCTGGTAGATGTAGGCGGTCAGCGGCTGAAAGGCCGTGACGCAGACGTAGATGCGGAGGTCGCACTTGTAGTGGCCGACCAGCAGCGGGTTGCAGATGTACTTCTGCACCACACACGTGTCGTCGAAGGCCAGGTCCCGGATGTCCCTGAAGATGCTGATGCCGCGGCCCCGCGACAGCTCGGCGGGCTTGCAAATCCAGTACCCAGGGTTGGTGCGCAGCATCTCCCGGGAGTACTCGGCCACAAACTTGTGGTACTCATTGGGCAGGACGAAGGTCAGCGGAATGAAAGTGTACAGGCCGGCACCGTGGGCCCCCTGCATGTGCCGCAGGAGCTTGGCCAGGTCGTCCTTGCGTGTGAGCCGGCTGGTGCCTGGGTGGTGGTTCAGCTGCTGCCAGGGCTGCAGGCTGACGTGCTTGGTGACCGGGAAGGGCGGCGTCCTCCAGTAGAGGTCCCAGTCATCCCCGTCCTGCGAGCGGCCGTTGAAGCGGCTCCAGCCCCGCTCCAGCAGGACGCTCTGCACCACCTCGGGCGTGGTGTCGTCCACACGGAACACCGGCTTCGGGGAGGCCCTCGGGGGCTCATTGTCCTCCCCCAAACCAGCAGGCTTCCTTTTCTGGGAAGAGACAGCAGAGGAGGGTTAGCGGGGACACCCCACACACACACACTGCCAGGTGGCATGGTGCTGTCCAGCCATCTGTCTCGTCTGTACCGTCCCTTGTGACCTTCACCAACCCACAGTGCCCATCTCGACAGGTGCAGATGGTCAGGCCTTTTGAATTGTAACCCCACTGGGGGGTTTGAACCGCCAACCTGCAGGTTCTCTGCATGTGCCAGGGACCCATGACATTCTCATGGTGGCACTCCTGCGTGCCAAGGCTAATGGCTGACTACATCAGCGTGCAAGGACCCCGCTGGGGCAGAAGGTGACCACTCTTCAGATCAAGATCCGAATGCCCGCTTGGTGACTACACTGCCCATTGGCTTAAGTGACGTCAACCGACGGGCAAGCACCAGATGCTCCTCGGAGTCCCAGGAAGGTTCTCGGTCTCCAGAGAGGTCCTCCACATGCCCACAGACCACACCAGGCTCCCTGGAAGAGAGCTGGTGGACAGGGGCCAGGCTCTGATGATGGGCGGCTTGTGAGGGAAATCACTGAGACCAAGTCTTTGGGTTTCTAAAAATTCAGTTGGTGAAAACTTTGCTGGGAAGGTTGGGCCTCGCAGGAGGAGAGAGAAGGTGGGAGATAAGGATTTGATGTCCCCCGAGCTCGCAGAGGAAGACACGGGGAGTGGGGTCATCATAGCTGCCAAGACCGCGGGCTTCATTACAATCCCGTCTCCTGGGGTGGGGAGGAGTGGCATGCTTTCTCAGGCCTGAGGAGGGTTGCCCACCAAGCCCCTGTACTCTGGAGACCTCAGCGGGTCCCTCTGGTGGTGTCAGCAGGCCTAACCTTTCTTGCTTGGCCGCCGACAGAGCTCACCTGGCAGAAGTCACAGGGTGTTTGGGAGATGGTGGTAGATCCCAAAGGCAGACACCTGGAACCTGGGTGGTGCTGTTTTGAAGCGTCGGACTACTGACCACCGGCCGGTGGTTCAAGCCCACCAGCTGCTCCGGGGAAGAAAGATGGGCCCAGTGCCCCCATGGAGTTTTATAGCCCCGGAAACCCCGCATCGGGTCTAATGGGTTGGACTGGACTGGGGCAGGGGCTTGCTGTGATTGAAGAAGGCTCAGCTGTGTCAAGATAAAGCAGTGAGCTCTTAATGGCAGAGGCAGCCCCTGGTTCGAACCCACCAGCCGCTGTGAGGGAGAGGACGAGGCAGTCCGCTGCTGTCAGGTATACAGACCACGGCAGTCTGTGGCAGTTCCACCCCGTCCGCCCGGGCCACCGGGATTCCAATCAGCACCACTGCACAAGAGCAGCCATGTCCTTGTGCCGGCCATCCCGTTTGGGAACAGAGTTTTCTAGGGTGGATCAGGAGCCCTGGCAGCCTAGTGGGTCATGCATTGGCCTGTTCACGGCAAGGTCAACAGTTCAAAACCATCAGCTGCTGCCTGGGACAAGATGACGTTTGGCTCCTGTAAAATTTAGTGTCTTGGAAATGCCAGGGTGGTTCTACACTGCCCATTAGGGACACTTTGATTCAGACTCACCTGATGACAGTGAGTGTTTGCCATGGTTTTAGTTATGAAATGCTATTAATCCCCTGTGCTCTGCAGATGACGGATTGCACTGGACAATCCTGTGGTACAAGCTCTCTTCAGCGCATTGAAAAGCAAGGATGTTACTTTAAGGACTAAGGTGTGCTTGACCCAAGCCAGGGTATTTCCCACTGCCTCTGATGCACGTGACAGTCGGACATTGAATAAAGAAGACCGAAGAAGAATCAATGCATTTACGTTATGGTGCTGGGGAAGGATATTGAAAATACCATAGAGCAGGGGTCCTCAAACTACGGCCTGCCGAGGACATTTATCTGGCCCGCCGGGTGTTTTTGCCCCGTTTGTTTTTTTACTTCAAAATAAGATATGTGCAGTGTGCATAGGAATTTGTTCATAGTTTTTTTTAAGTATAGGCCGGCCCTTCAATGGGTCTGAGGGACAGTGAACTGGCCCCCTATTTAAAAAGTTTGAGGACCCCCGCCATAGAGTGCCGGAAGAAACACACCCGTCTTGGAGGAAGGACAGCCAGAGTGTCCCCTAGAGAAGAGGACACAAAGACTGTGTCTCACATGCATGGGACATGCTATTGAGGGAGAGGCATCCCTGGAGAAGGACATCATGCTTGGTAACTAGAGGGGCAGTTAAAAGGATGAAGGTCCGTCAGGAGGTGGACGGACACAGTGGCCGCAGCCATGGACTCCAACAGGAACCATTGTGAGGAGGCTTGTTCTGTTGGGTGTGGGCTGTGGGTCAGAACCAAGTCAACAGGACCTAATAACAGAGCTTCCCGCTGTTCTTCCCACAATGCCTCGGCTGCTCACAGAAAATCCCATTATGGAAGTGATGACCTCAGGGGAGGTCACATCATGTGAGAATCCTGGCCTGGCCGAGTTGGCACAAAGCCCAACTCCCCATAGCCAATCTGGCACATTAAACACTAACGACAGACCAGCTGATAAACAGTGGCCATCAACAACGATTTCAATCCTGTGCCACCAGGATGCGTGCCTCTGCTGTCTGTCTAACTATCTACTGTCTGCGTCCTTCCCTCCTACTTCATGTATCTATTTACCTACTTATGTATTTACTATAATCTCTATCCACCTACTGTCTGATATCTATCATATCAATTATCTATCCATCCTTCTTCATATATCTATCTACTTACCTATTTATCTATCTACAGTCTATCTATTATATCTATGAATTATCTATCCATCCTTCTATCTACTTACCAATCTACTGCCTATTATCTCTATCATCTGTCATCCATCCATCCTTCATATATCTACTTACCAACTTATCTAATATCTCTATCTCGCTATCTCTCATCTCTATCAATAATCTATCTACCTATCTCCACCACTTGCCTGCAGTAGTTGGAATACAGAGACTGCAAGCCAAGGGGAAGGAAAAGTACTTTGAATATGTGGTCTTGGTGATGGAAATGAAACTGGAGATTGCATAATGAAGACCAGTGACTTCTTCAATCAAAAAATACACGTTCAGCAACACAAACGATGACCTTACACACGGACTTGTCCAGATGCAATAAACAGAAATCAAATTGATGTGGGAAGTTGTGGAGAAGCTCAATATTAGCCTCTAAAATGAGCCCGGGGGCCAACGGGAGCAGACCACCAATTGCTGATGAGTAAACCCAGGTTCTGAAGGTGGTGTAGAATGGGGCACTGTTTCTCTCTGTTGTACATGGGCTCCTCGGCCGCATAACTGACCCCACCGCACTTAACAGTAGCAATCCATCTTTCTTTGTATCAATTCCAAAGACTTCAAGCTAGTAGTGACTATGACGTACTAATGAGGAACCGATGACATGTGCTAGAATCTGATCAATGGGATCACAACCTAATTGGTTGAAGGTAGACCTTAACGTACGCTGTTACAGCAACTGACCTTCCCCCATGGAGGTTAAGATCCTGCCGAGACCCCAGAGGCACCCATTTATATTAGCCGCTGCTCGTGACAGCATCTGATGATCCAAAGAGATCAAACTGGGCTCACAGTGCTCGGAGGAGAAGGGAAGGGGATGTACAATGTGGTGCAAACCTACATGAAATCACACGCATGTATGTGACAGGATTGTAACATGGGGTCGCTCCCATTGAACTCGTCTCCCATGCCCCAGGCAGCCACACTTCCTTCACTGTGCTCAGGGTGGCTGTGTGTCTGCACCAGGCAACATGGGGTGTGTGTGGGGAGATGAGACCACGCCCATTGCCCCACCTCAGACTCCAGCCAGAACAGAGATGGCCTGGCCTGGTGGATAGGGTTACCACAGGCCCCAGACGGCATTCTGCGATCTCACTGAGCTTCATCTCAGAGCGTAAACCCTTCCACCTGGAACTTGGCTGCAGCCATGCATGACATCCAGGTTAGCCCAGGCTGAGACAAAGCATCACTGTACTGACAATGCGCGAAGTCCCTGGTTGACTAGTACCACCGGTGTGCGGGATGGATAGAAGGGCTTCCCCTTGCATGCTCTGGGCGTGTTTAGGATACTGCCCCCCTCAGGAAAGCAGAGGAAAGCCCTCCAGGAAGCAGCAGTGGGCTCACACAGAACAGCAGGGGTGGTGAGGAAGCCACGGGGCAGGGTGGAGCTTGGTCTGTTGTCCGGGGCATCACTCTGAGTCAGAACTGACCCAAGGCACCTGCCACCGTCACCGCCACCATTGCCACCACCATGCCACGGTTCTTGCCCACCTGTCTGATCTGAGAGGCACAGGACTGTGATATATCTTCAGGGCTCACAAGTCACCCATTGAGGTGGAGAGTACTTCAGTCTTCCTTCTCTACCCTAGGCTATGAGGTTTCCTGCCAACTCGACGAGGTCCGAATCCTCAGTGATTTGTCAGTTAAAGCCGAGTAACCCCCATCGTGTGACCTAACACCATGGACCACTGTGGTATGACCTAACACAGTGAACCCCTGTGGTATGACCTAACACTGGGAAACCCCCTGTGGTATGATATAACACCGTGCAACCCCCGTGGTATGATCTAACAGCGTGGACTCCCCCCCCCCACCGTGGTATGACCTAACACCATGAACCCCCATGGTATGACCCAACACCATGAAATTCCCCGTGGTATGACCTAACACAGTGAACCCTCTTGGTATGATTAACACCATGGAACCCCCACGGTATGACCTAACAGCGTGGAACCTCCTGTGGTATGACCTAACCCCGTGGAACCCCCTGTGGTATGATCTAACAGCGTGGAACCTCCTGTGGTATGACCTAACACCATGGAATCAACTTCATAATGGGATCTGCTGTGAGCAGCCAAGGCAGCTTTAAGAAGATGAGGGTGGAGGTGACCCCCTTACTCAGGCCACGGCCCTGATGCAACTGAGAGGCTGTTTCCTTGTGGATGTGACCTACTTCCTACTTAAGTGGAGGCCATCAGGAAGTGTGCCTGGATCGGGATTTGCCACCGTCTCTTGGACCGCTGGGTCTGTGGGACTTTTGCTGGTGGCCTGCCATATTGCCTGACAACTCCAAGAGCCATGTGCCGTCTGACCCACTGACCTTCGACTCGTCCCATGTCTGCAGCCTGTGGGGTC